GAAGGAAGGAAGGAAGGAAGGAAGGAAGGAAGGAAGGAAGGAAGGAAAGAGGGAGGGAGGAAAAAGGGAATGAGAGAAGGAGGAAAGAGACTTTAACCTAGGTACAAGGTTTGGAACAGTGTGATGTAGGGGTGACTGGAAGGATAGAGAGTAGAAAAGCCAGGAGTGGATTAAGCAAAAGAGAAGATCCTAACCCTACTATTTCTTAGTCACCTCACGTGCAATTAAGCAATGCTGTGTGCATTTAATGAGAACTTACTGCATAAAACACTCTGAAATGGAATATAGGAAATATCACTTTGAATAAGGCATATTCTAAGCCCTTAAGAGACTTCTTAGCTTCAACTTTGGGTAATTAGCTGCATGATAAAACACAATCTTGCCTAATAAGAGCTCTAGAAAGTTAGAAAGCAAAACAAGCTCCTGGAGAGCGAGTTAAGGGGAGTGTCACTAGCCAGGGGGATTATGGGAGTCTTCATATAGGCAGTAGCATTCTCTTTAGGATAGGAAGTTCAATTATTAGATTACAAAAGAAGCCACACTTTTAGACCACTTCAAGATTTGCAAAGTGATCGAGTCACAATAACTTTGTAAAGTAAGTAGATCAAATATTGTGAACTCCATTTTACAGAGTAGGAAACTGAGTCTCTAAGCAGTTAAGTCACTTGCCCTTGCTCCACACCTAGCAAATGCCTGCAGCAGGATTTGAACTCAGGTGTAACTGATTCTAAGTTCACCACCACAGCACCACATTGTCTTTCAAAGTATTTCCTGCAATGACTTCACTGTTCTGAAGGACTCTGGCTAGGTTCAAGAGCAATGGCGAAAACAAACCCAGCCAGGCTAGGGCAGAAAGTTGGCATCTTGGTTCTCTGTGATTTAGTCCCCTGAGCCTCCTTGGATGACAGTGAAGAGGAGGGATCACTTGAGTTTGGGCTAATTTAAAAACAGACTGGTGAGCTCCTATGCCCAGGTACAGCCAAGCTTCATGGCAGAGCCTCTGAATTACTGATCTCCATTTCTCTCTTGCGAGGTGACACTTAACAGATACTCAATAATTATTTAATTGACTTGAATAGGGACAGCCTGGTAGGGTGGAGAGTGTGCTGGGTTCTCAATTAGAAGATCTAGGTCCAGAACCAGTTTCTTCCTACTCCCTGGGTGGACTCGGGCAATTAAGAAATAATAGTTCTCTTCTTTTTTCTAGGCATGGAGGAAAAACGCAGTGTCACTAGTAGGAGTGATGTCTCATGAGTTGGGTCATGCCCTCGGAATGCCTGATGTGACTCATGAGACCAAATGCCCCTCTGGGAGCTGTGTGATGAACCAGTACCTGACGTGAGTCACTCTCACTGTCTGACAAAGGAGAGAAAAAAAATTCAGTAAAGGGAGGTGTTGTTGTTGTTGTTGGTGGCGGTGCTGGTGGTGTGGTGTGGTGTGGTGGTGGTGGTGGTGGTGTGTGTGTGTGTGTGTGTGTGTGTTTCTGTGCATATACATGTGTGCCAATGACAAAGGCTAAGAGAATGAGGCTAGGAGACAAAAGCAATGTCTCTAGTCCCATCTCGGTCACCTGCGAGGTACACAATTTGGGGCAGATCATTAACTTCTCTGGGTCCCAGTTTTCTCTACAAAGAAGGGTTTAGATGATACCTTAGATAATCTTTAGGCTCCCTAAGGCTCTAAGTCTAGGATTCAGGCATCATTCATTTATTCATTTGTTCATTCATCCTATCTATTCATCAGTTCACTCAAAAAACCATTTATTAAATGCTTTCTATGTAGCAGGCACCATGCTATACTCTGAAGATAAAAACACAAAAATAAAATTGTGCTTGTCCTCAAATAACTTAATTCTTTTGGGGTGAGGGTGAGAAATAATAGAATAATGTGTCTTAGTCTATAGATGTATGCAGAGATCCAGTTTGTTCTCATGTATTTTAATTTTATTTTAGACTTTTGATTTCAGTGGTTTATGAAACTCCCAAGAAACCCCCTCCCCTGATACAGATTGGCATCTGCCCTGCAACTTAAATTTTTAGAGGATTACCTGGAATCCTGAGAGATTGTGACTCAATTATATTCACACAATCAGTTTATGTTAAGACTTAAACCCAGGTCTTATGGACTCTGAAGCAAATTCTATAACCATTATTCCATGATGCCTCTCATATAATGTATAAAAAAAATATTCAAAGTTATGTTAAGGTGGGAGGATGTGGATAATAGGAATTGGGGGTTAGTTGGGGTAAGAGAGACATTTTATAGAAGGTGGGTCTTGAGTTGTGTCTTGATAGAAGCTAAGGATTCTAAAAGTTGGAGGAAGTGCATCCCAGGCCTGTGGGACAGTCTATACAAAATCAAGGAGGCAGTAAATGGAATGTTATGCATTGGGGATATGCACTGGCTGAATCCAATAGTTGTCACTGTTACTACTGTGTAATCCCCCAAATCCTGCTCCGATTTCTTATCATGCCTGTGAGATGTCCCTGGATTCTTGAAGGTTTTCTGTGGATGGGTTGAGATCTATGATGATGGAATGCAAATGAACACCTAAGAAATCTCAGGTCCCAGCAGTGCGGAGAGAAGACAGTTCTGGAATCCTAGACTTGAGTTCAAATCCTCCTTCTGGCCCTTACTAGCTGTGTGACCTTGGCCAAATTAATTAACTTTGTGGGACCTAAATTTCTTTATCTATAAAGTAAAGGGGTTGGACCAGATGGCTTAAGAAATTGCTTCCAGCTGGAAACTGGTGATCACTCTGATACTATTATTTGAACTGTACTGCTACCACCTTGACTAGTTTGGACAGATTCAAATCCTAAGGGGAATTTGGTCCCTTTATGCCCATGAGCGACTCTTTGCCCACAAACTGCAATGTTCCTGGACCTCCCTTGGCCATGGCAAATCATGACTGACATCTTACACCCAAATGCCAAGTGACACACACCCTAGAGCCCCACCCAGCTTCTTTTTATCTCCTTTATCCGCAGCTCTAAATTCCCAAAGGACTTCAGTGAAACTGCCCTCAAATCTTTTAAAAAATACCTCTTGCATCAAAAACCAATGTGTCTTCTCCAAGCACCAGCCCCAGAAGACATAATAAGCAATCCAATCTGTGGGAATAAACTCAAGGAAGTAGGTGAAGATTGCGACTGTGGGACACCCAAGGTATCTCCCATTTTTTTCTCTCCCATTTTTCTTACGTCTAATTTGGGGTTTAAGAAGTGTGCTGATAAAGATGATGATAATGAGTTTCATTATAATAATATAGACCTGAGAATACAAAGAAAGGCAAAAACAGCGTTCTTGCCATCAATGAGCTTGCATTCTAAAGAGAGAGAAAACATGCACATAACTATGTGCAAATATCCTATATGATGGTAGAAATGGAAGCTGACCTCAGAGGATAGTGTAAATGAGGAGAGGGGAGAGGAGGGAAGGAGAAGTGAGGGAAAGAAAAAGATAAAGGAGAAGAGGAGAGAAGAAGGAAGGAGAAAGGAAGGAAAAGAAAAGTAAGGGGAAGGGAAGGAAAGGGATTAAGAGAGAAGGGGGGGAGGTGAGGGGAGGAGAGGGACTGGGAAAGGCTTCCAGAATCTTATTTGAGATGAATTTTTAAGGAAGCCTGAGAATTCAGCAGGCAGAGATAGGGAAGAACATTCCAGACATACTGAATAGACAAATCAAAGGCAAAGGGTTTGAATATGGATTATCATGTAGAAGGAATAGTGAGAAGCCCTTTGTCATGGGATCATAAAATTCATGGATGTGAATAAATTATAAGAAGACTGGAAAGCTAGTAAGGGTCCTAGTTGTAAAGGAGGGCATAGTCAAGGAAGATGCATGAGCATTGTGGAAAGATGACTTCTGAATAGGAGCCTCATTTTTTTTTCCAGTGAAGCATGAACAAAGGTCCCCAGGACTCAAGTTCAAATTTCACTTGATACTTAAACTACCTGTGTTGTGCAAATTGTTTAATTATCCTGGGTTTCAGTTTCTTTCTCTGTCAAATGACAGCATTGAACTAGGTGACCCCGAAGGTCCTTCTCAGCTTCTGTCTAAGTCAATGATTCTAGATGTTCAAAATAGAATAAGCTACCCCTAATAAGGCAAAAGACAAATAATCCAATTTCTGTCATTGTGTCTGTGTGTTTGTTGAAGGAATGCACAAACCCTTGCTGTGACGCAGAGGCATGCAGATGGAAGCCTGAGACCCAGTGTGAAGGACACACAACAGCACGTGCACGGTAAGATCACCCCTTGTCCTCTCACTTTTTTTTTCTAATTTTAACTTTCTGCCGGTTGACAAGTTGTGGACAAAGTCAAAGTGTCATTCTGATCCTTCCCTTCCTTCAAGGTCAAACTCAGGTTCGACCGACTCCCAGATTCCCTCAAACAGAAGAGGCCTGTCTCTCCCAAAATGCTTCCTAAACACTTTGCTTGGACCTATGTTTAGTGCTCTTCACCTTCTACTTAGATATGGACAGGTCTGAAACCACATGGCAGAGGGGAAAAAGCACTAGACTTAGAACAGCAGGAAAAATCTAAATTCACATTCCACCTCAGGCTAGCTGTGTCAACCTAGGAAAAGTATTTTAACCTCTCTTGGCCTCAGTCTTCTCATCTTTAAAATGGGGATAATCATAGTATCTACTTCACAGGCTTATTATGAAGGTTAAATGAGATGATGATGATGATGATGAGGATATAAAATCTTTGCACACTTTAAAGCTGATGTAAATGTTAGCTCTCACTCCTTCTTTAGTTTCTAAATTTCTTAAACAGTATGTAAGCTCCTTAAAGATAGGAATTGTTTTCTTTTTTTTTCTTTCCTTTGTATCCTCAGCACCCAGTCTAGATCTTGACTGATTTATCACATACTTGGTGAGTTGGATTAAGGGCAAGTAGTGAGTTTTATTTAATTTTCATTTCCCCAAGAATGACTCTGTACAATGTAAACTCTTAATCAAAACTTGTACATTTGGAATGGGCTGGCTTGCAATGTACGGGGGCACTTTCTGTGATTGGTGCTCCCATTTGCCACAGCACCCAGAGCGACAACCTTGGTGACAGCTTTGATTCTTCTCTCCCTCATCTCCCATTTATCAATCAGTTCCCAGTCTTTGGCATTCATCCCATTGTTTCTGTCCCTAGTACCACAACCTTGTCCAAACTCTCCTTAGTCAGTCAGTCAAAAATGTGCCAGGCACGAAGCTAGTGGCTGGGGTTACAAAGAAAGGCAAGAGACAGGTCCTACCCTCAAGGAGCTTACAATCTAATGGGAGAGACATCATACAAACAGTTATGTATGAATATGCTTTAGACAGGACAAATAGGAAATAATCAACAAAGGAAGGAACTGGATCCAACAGGATCAGGAAAAGCTTACTGTAGAAGGTGGGGTTTTAGCTGGGACTTGGAGGAAGCCTGGAGGTGGAGATGAGGAGGGGGAATGTTCCAGGTGTAAGGGACAGACTGTACACATGTCCAGAACTGAGACATGGAGTATCTTGTTCAAGGAACAAGAAGCCAATGTCGTTCATGGAACAGCCCAGAAGCTAATGTCATTGAATGGAAGAGAATGTGTGTGGGGAGAATGAAAGGATTAAGAAGACTGGGAAGCTGTGTGTGTTGGGGAATGGGTGGAGTGTAGGTTATGAAAGCTTTGAATGCCAAAGTCTCATCTGGACTAATGCTATAGCTTCCTAACTGATCTCCTGGCCTCTAATCTTGGGTCCTTCCAACCCATCCTTCATGTTGCTGCTAGAATAATCCTCCTTAAACAAATATCAGCTTATGGCACTCTTTTGCTCAAAACCTTTCAACGGTCCCTTATTACTGATTGAATAAAGTCCAAAGTCCTTATCCTGACATTTAAGGCTTTCCAAAGTCTGGACTGACCTTACCTTGGTGGCTTGGTCTCATCATACTTCCCTTCATGTACTTAACAATCCAGGCAAACTATTCTCTTTACTCTTCCATGAGCATGTTGCAAGTTTTCCTGAAATTCTGCCTTTGTACATCCCTTATCCTATATATGGAATCAATGCCCTCCTTCCTCTCCTCCCCCGTCTTTACCATCTCTAGCTCATCCTTCAAGTCTCAGCTCAAATGATGCACAAGTGAAGCTTTCCCTGATTAGCTTTTTGGGGAGTAAACTTACTTTCCTCTTTGCTTTTCTGTATTAGCCTTGTAGAGGACATTATTAACACTGCTGCTGTGCCTTTACCACTTTTGATTTTTAATAGCATTTTTATATACACTAGGTGTCTTATTACCCCCATTAGACTATAAGGGTCATGTTTTATCCATCCCTGTGTCTACCTTAGTAACTAACACAAGCCTTTGTGCATATTAAGTGCTTAATGATTGTTGAATTAAATTGAAACCAAAATACACACAATTAAAAAAAAGAATGCATGGGAAAGAAGGTGAAATTTCATAATCTTCTCACATTATTCTCCCTGTATTTCAACCAAATATTTCTGTATTTAAACCAAATTGACCTACTTAGTATTTTCTTTGTGTGGGATTATATCTCCCACTTATGTACTTTTGCACAGGCTGTGCCCCTTACCTGCCTGCCCTTTTTTTAAAACTCTGCTTCTTGGAATCTCTAACTCTATTCAAGGATAAGCTCAAGTGCCACTTCCTCCTTGAGACTTTTTGTAACTCCTCCACTTGTTAAATGACATTGGATATATTTTGTATCAAATTATCTCTAACTATATTATTTTACCCTGGTAGAATGTAAGCTCTCTGAGGGCAAGAACCAATTTTTAAAAAAAATCTTTGTATTTTTAGAGTATAGCACTGTGTCTGGTATATGGTAGTTAGTTAATAGAAGCATGCTAAAATAATATAACAGTTCTTTGACTAATAAGAATTAATATTACATGATATGAATATAAGATATCATTTTGCCATTGCATCATGATACTTAGCCATCTCTAACTGAATTCCTTCTTGCTATTATTCTAAAAGAATTCCCCAAAGCTCCAATTCTGTGCTTTGCAAACCTTAAAACTCAATATAAATGCATGTTGTTGTTACTATTATTAAACATATTAATAATCTGTAACTTCTCCCCTTTTCTTAGTCCCCTAACTCCAGGCCCACTCCCTATCTTATAGTAAATGACTTTGCCTCATATTTCATTAAAAATGCATGCTCCCTCAAATTCCTGCCTCTATACCCCCAGATATTTCTGACTTTACTCATCCTTTCTATCTTCCTTCCATTCTCAATGGATGAAGTCTTCTGCTTCTTTGCCAAGGCAAAGTTGTGTGTTTGTTTCCTTGATTCCATTCTCTCCTGTTTTCTCTGTAACTTCATGCCATTACTTATTCCATTCACTTGTTCAACCAACAAAAACATATTAAACATTTGTACTCTGCTAGGCATTGGGCCAGACACTAAGGATACAGGAAAAAATATGGATCAGACCTTGCTCTGAACAAGCTGGAGAGTTGGGGGGGGTGGGAGTGGGGTGGTAATTTTTGAAGAGGGAAAAAGACAGGAGCCCAAATTTCCATAATTACAGAGAACAAATTATGTGTAAAAGAATGATCCAGTCAAAATGTTTTGAACAATTTTAGGCGCAAATATTTGTTTCACATCTTTCTAATATTCTCTCCCCCTCTAATTAGCTCCTTACTTTCTACCAAATCAAATAAACAAACAAAAAAAAAAGAAAGAAAGCGGGAAAGCATGTTCAGGTCTCTACTCTCCTAAAAACAAATAAACAAACAAAATCAAGAACGCTCTTCTTATAATGTAAGATGCTTCTATCTTATTTCTCTCCTCCCTTTCACTTCTTCTGAAGAATAGATACCCTTTGTATAGTCGGGCTCCAGATTTGTGAGGGTGGAAAGAGTTTCCACACTTTGTATTCCCAACACAGGTCTGAACCTAAACAACCCATGATATAGAAGAGCCTAGCATCCTGTGCGAGCAGGTTTCTGTCCACATGATTCTACTCAAACTGGTCTCTTCCAACATCACCAAAGATCTAAGTGACAAACCCAATGGTCTTTTCTCAGTTCTCACTACTTCTTCTATTAGCCCTCTCTATCTTTCTGGCAAGTGTCTATTCTCTTGGTTTCTCTGTTGCATTTGTTTCCTGATTCTTTGACAATTTATGCTCTAACTTCGTCTTTGGCTCCTTGGATGGTGAATTTTCCTACTCTCATTCCCCAAATTAGAGTGTCCCTTGAGACTCTGTCCTATTTCTTCTTTTCTTTCCTCTCAACCTCCTCTCCCAATGGTGTCCTCTGCTTCCCTGTGATGAAATATCATCTCTACACAGATGATTCATAGATTCCTATATCTACTCCCAAGTTTTCCATGGCCCATCAGGCCTACATCTGTTTGCCCACTATAAGCCCTGATGGTATCTCAAACTCAAGAGGTACAAAACAGAACTCTTTACCTCCCTCTTGAAAGCTGCCACCATCTCAAATTCTCTATTTCTCTTGATGGTACCAAGTTTTTCTGTCCACCCAGACTCAAATTCTCCATGTCACTATTGACCCATCACTGTCCTTCACTCCCCAGTTAATACTGACCACTCCCTACTTAATATGACCAATGGCAGAATTTATTTTGTTTGACTATGCGTATTTGGTAGAGAGGTTTTCTTTTCTTTTCTTTCTTTTCTCCCTCAAGCATAGAGAGTGGGGAGAAAAATGTTTGATAATTAAAAAACAAAATTTATTTTAAGCTTTGAACTTGAAAATTTCCAGAGTGCTTGGTCTTTTCCTCATTTGTCACAATGACAGGATTGGAATCAGTGATTTCTAAGGTCCTTTCAGCTCCATTAGTACTTAGGACCACATATGTCCTTAGGCATCATCAAACTTTTCCTGCTTCCACAACTAAAAAGTCACCCTCCCTTATATCTGTCTTATGGTACCATGTCTGATTGGATCTCTTAATGCTATTACCACCTTCTTTCTGGTTTTGTACTCATTCATGGACATCCCTCATTATGGACATCCCTCATCCCTCTCATTAGATTGGGCACTCCTGGAGGACTGGCACAAAGTCATTTTTATGATGCATTTTATAGTTTCCATGATAATGACATTTGATATGCAAAAAGAATCATCTCCACTACCACACCACTATTATCAGCAGCAGCAAAATAGAAACATCTCAAACATAAGCAAATAGTATTGAATTCTATGCCAAATTCTCTACTGATTAAATCAATTACCATGTCAATAACAATCATTTTGACAATAATAAAAATACAAACATACTGCTAGTGAGTTGTTTTCAGTTGTGTCAAATTCTTCATGACCCCATTTGGAATTTTCTTGGCAAAGATACTAGAGATGTTTGCCATTTCTTTCTCCAGCTCATTTTATATACGAGGAAACTGAGATGAGCAAGGTTAAGTGACTTGTCTAGAGTTATGCAGCTCATAAGTGTCTGAAGTCAGATTTGAACTCAGAGTTATGAATCTTCCTGACTCTGACCTGGTGCTCTATGCACTATGGTGCCTCCTAGCTGCACTATCTATTTAGTATCTTAAGAATGGCACAATGCTTTACACATGTGGTCTCATTTGAGACATTTTCAACCATTCAAGGTAGGTGCTTTATTACCATCAATTTGCAGATGAGGCAACTGAGTTGTAGGGAAATGAAGTGTCTTATCCAACTGACAGAAGCAGGGTCTGAAGTCAGTGCTTCCTGATTCTGGGTTCAGCATTCTCTCTCCTTCGCTAGGCTGTTCTATGTCATGGGTTGTTTTGGTTTAGACCTGGGCTGGGAATACAAAGTGTGGAAACTCCTTCCACCCTTGTACATCTGGAGCCCAACTATAATTTATAGTTTCTTAGAGTCACCCAGAGCACCTATATGGGTTATCTTCCCCCCTCCTCTAGAAAAGGGTTTTCTTGTTGTTTGTTTGTTTTATTTTCTATTTGTATCCAAGAACTTGGTATAGTGTTTGGCACATAACAAACATGATAAAGTATCATTGCATTCATTCATTCAGTCACTCACCTACTCATTCATTCATTTATGCATGCATTCATTCACCAAGAAGATTTAAGTGACTTGTCCAGCTCACAAAGCCAGTAAGTGTTGGAGGCAGGATTTGAACCCATTTTTCTTGACTCCAAGTTAACTCTGCCACCCACTGTGCCATGGCCCCCTCAAATGCACCATCAAAACATAATGATGTTAGAAACACAAGGGTATTGGGGGCTTGCCAGTTTCCCTTTCTTCCCACTTTCATAGGGTCTGACTTGATCTTCACTCCCTGGGTAGCGGGCAAATGAATAAAATGCATCTAGTAAGCACTTATAATGGGCCGTGCACTGTGCCTACTGCAGAGGATACGCCTACAGAAACAAAGACAGACCTTGCTCTCAAGGGGTTTCCATTCTAATGGGAGGGGAGATACACATAAAGGGGAATGTTGCCAACTAAGCAGGGGTATTTTGATCTGGAAAGCTGCTGGGCCGGTGCTGGAGCCAGGGGATTTGATTATGGTTCCTGAACAGGTGAATGGGTGGGAATTTGGATGGGAATAATGTCTGGAACTTCATCCTTATATGGGCTTAGCTCAAATTCCCCCACTCTCAGGAGGCCCTTCCCAAACTGTCCAGCTGCTATTGTTCTAGTACCTTCCCCTACTAGACTACTTCCCATTTACTTTGTATATATCTTATTTTTAACCAATTATTTACATATTGTCTGCTCAACTAGAATGTGAGCTTCTTAAGGGTTGGGGCTATTGTAGGAGAATGTTGTGTATGTGCATTTTGTTTTTCCCCCTTTCTTCATATCTTCATATCCCCAGATCTTAGTGCAGTATTTGGCATATAATAAATACTAAAGGAATATTTGTTAACTTGCTGAGGGGTTGGTAGAAAGAAGAGGAATTCTGATCCAAAGACATTAGTCCTCTAATGTATTTTCTCTGATCTAGGTAAGAAGACAGCTGTCAAGAAGCTAGCCAGGGAGTAAAAGTTCTGATATTCTTATCTCCATTTTCTAGTTGAGGCAACTGAGGCTCAATGAGCTGAAGGGACCTATCTACCCAAGGTTATAGAATCCACCCAGGAGAGGATGTGAGATGGGAACTCAATTTCTTCTAAGTCCAAGGCTGTCTCCATCATACTATGGTTTGTTTTGGGAGATGAAGAAGAGTTATTGGTGAAAACAAGAAAGAAATGATTTGAACTTGCTTCTCCTTTAATCTTTAGGATATGCTTACAGTCTTCACAAATGTACATTTAACATTTTACCATTTATCAAATGCTTCTGCTACTTGTGATTGCAATGATATCTATGCATATCTTTTATACATCTTCCACAATCCCTTATGACTGTAGGTCTGGGATGATTGCATGTGAACTGTGTACATTTTTATGTGACTATTAAAGAAGTCTTTGGGTGAGGAGTTGCTTTCCATTTATTTCTTCTTAGCCTAGATATTTAAAGCTCATCAGATAGAGTAAACTAAAAAGAAGAACAAAAACCAAATATAGACATGTAACAAATAGCAATATCACCTTCCTGGGAATTCTCTGCCTCACCATCATCATCCTACAATAAAACAAAACAAATTCACACACATACACACACACACACACACACACACACACAGTCTTTGTGTATTTCAGTCACTATGCAAATGATGCCTTGATGGTCTGTCTCATCTCACCTTCCTCCTTGCCCTTCCCCTCCCTGCCCTTCCCCAAGCTGGTGTCATTTACACACCTGACTCACCCATCCAGCCAGAGTACATCTCAGAGTTAGCTATCAAAACATGCTTGGGATGAAGAATGCATGCATTCCCAAGTGTGGACAAGAAAAGAGAAATGACAGGAGTCCCTAGCTGTATGGTCTTGGGTAAATCCCTTTACTTCTCTAGACATCAGATTTTTGAATTAGGATTCAGAAAAGTGACTTCATAAGTTCAAGAAGGGAGAGAGATGGATAACCAACATGAGATATAAAAAGAAAAGACTTTGGGGGGCACTATAGATTCAGGAGAAATCATGAGCACATCATGGCAGCCAAAAACCTGGAATGACACTAGTTGTCATTGAGAAATCTAGCATTCAGAATGAGGGAGGCTGTCTTCCCTCTGTCCTGGTAAGGGCGCATCTTGAGCGTTATGTTCAGTTTCAACTGTAGCATTTTAGGAAGGATATTGTTGAGGTGAAGAAGGTTCAGACAAAATCAGCTAGATTGGTAAGGGACTTGGATATCCCATCCATTGTAGGAACTGGGGATGTTTAGATTAGAAAAGATGTAAGGGAGACATGATAGCTGTCTTCAAAATAGGAAGGACTTGTTCAGCCCTGGCAATGATAGTGGATTTAAGCTTCATATAATCAAAAGCTCTTCACAAACTGAGACATTCAAGAAAATAATAGAATTGACTCTTATAGCTGATAATGAATTGCTCAGGGTTTTGTTTTTTCTTTTTAAGTGAAGGGTGAATGGCCACTTGAAGAAGATGTAGAAGAACATTCTTCTGAAAGTCTTGTTCCACTTGATAGCCTTTAAAATACTTATTAGTTCTGTGATTCAGTCATCTAACCCTGTCTGCCTCAGTTTCCTCATCTGTAAAATGAATTGGAGAAAGAAATTGCAAACCACTCCAGTATCTTTTCCAAGAAATCCCCAAGTGATGCCACAAAGAGTCATACATGACTGATACCACTCAACAACAAAAACCTATGAGCAAAACACTCAGATGGGAGTGAAATACAGTGGTGAAATAAGACAAAGATGCTGCAACCCAAGAGTTTATACTTGTGTTGAAAGACCATATTCATGCACTTGAAAAATTAGATAATTTGAGTCAAGCAGAAGACCAAAGTATGTAAGATATTGCAAAGTAAACACTGGTAATATATGGAATGAGTGGATCAGATTTTCCTCCTAAGCCTACTATAGGAACTTAGAGCTGGAATAGGGCACTTTCAGCTTGCCATATCCAGGGATGTCCATCATGATATCTCAGCCATCTGCCAGTCAAGTCATGGACTTGATTAGAAAAGTACGTACACACACACACACACACACACACACACTTTAAAAGAAAGATGAAGCTTTTTAAGATATGAAGGGAGGATCCAAATCTAGAATCATAAATTAAAAGTTGAAATCAATAAGCATTTATTAAGCACCTCCTGTGCACCAGGGTTTATGCTAAGTGCTGGGGATAGAAAAGGAAAGCAAAAACAATGCCCATGTTCAAAGAGCTCACATTCTTATGGGGAAGATAACATGTACATACAAGGTACACCAGAGTTGATGGATGACAACTTTAACAAGAAGGGACTCACTGGAAAAGACCTTAGAGACCATATAGTCCAACCCTCCTCATTTTACAGAAGAGGAAACTGAGCACCAAAAAAGTGGCATGATTTATCCAAAGTCACACTAGTAAACAATAGCAGTCAGAATGTGAACCCAAGTCTTTTGGCTTGAAAATATGTTTTTTCACCATGGGAACAAGGGACTGTGTGTTTTTTATTACATCAACACACAGAATCATTATCTCATTCAGTCATTATTGAGAAGAGAGAAGGGCCTGTGTAGCTTGAGGAAGGAGCACTAGCTCAGAAGTCATGGGGCCTTCCATGATGGTGGTGTTACACTGGTCAAATGGTGTAACCTCTCTGTGCTCTAGGCCTTAATCTACCAGTTACTGTCAAATTCTATGGGTCTGATTGACATCAGTGTGGATCACCTTATCACTGACAAAAATTCTGTCATTCTATAGTCAAATTGGTGGTGAATAAATTAATATGTGAATGGATGACTGGAATGAATGAATGAATGAATGAATGAATGAATGAATGAATGAATGAATGAATGAAAAAGACATTTAATAGTATTTACTATGTGCCAGATACTGGGTCAAGCACTGAGAATACAAAGAGAAAAACAAGACTGTTTCTGCCCACCCCACCCCAAGGAATTTTTGTTCTAATAAAGGGAAAACAACATATGTAGGGAAGTGGTGGCCAGGGAGGAGTGATTTGGATAGGAAAGTAGAGGGGATGGTGATTGGAGCCACAGGGCAATTGATTGATATATTCTTTCCAAGAATGGTTCTCTTGATTCAATGATTGTTCACAGACCGGGAGTAGAAAGTGGGATGAGGGTGCACATATGATGGCAGGGACATGAACATGACTGGAGAACAGCATCTGAGACTTTGTGTTGGGCTAAACATAGAGAACTTCCATGAGTTACAGAGAAGGTGCCTACCTGCAGTGGTAAAGGAACTTTTCTCCCCTGGGAGTTCCTTATATCAACAAAATCACAGGTCCAATCCATATCCTAAGACAAATATACAAATAAGATTGCTAAAAATCAATTTGAGATTAGGTCAAAGGAAAGATCTAGACTAGATAATAAAAGTAATTTAAGGAGGGAGAGAATATTGGGGGGGGAAGGTATTATCAGCAAGAGAATAAGAATCTAGCAGAATATTTCATATCATGAAGAATAACTTTGTTGACCTTAGTATGAGGCAGTATATAGTATAGTGGAAAGAGTGCAGGATTCACATACCTATCTGAAGCGGTTTGGAGTCCACTCTACCCTTACTATCTATAGATTATTGAAGTAATCACTTCATGTAATCAAGCCTCCATTATCTATATATAATGGAGATAGAGCTAGCATCATATAATGGTCAGAAGGCCAATCTTGGAGTCTTGAAGACCAATGTTCACGTTGACAAATACAAGCCATTGTCTGCCTGAGCGAGACAATCAACCTCTTGGTGCATTGAAGCAACATTCTGAGTTAGGTATTAACTGCAGCAGTAGAAGGAGTTAGAACATTGGGAATTCCCCACACTGATGAAATCACAGGTCTGAGCAAGAAATGAGGATCTAAATGCCTGCATTGTTTATTTTACTTGGCTGTTGTTCAGATTGGGAAGGTGATCTGGAGTCTGAACTGTGGGGATTTCTGAGTGGGTAACAAAGAGGGGAAGAAAGGATCCTGGCATATGAAAGGTTGTAGACTAGAGAAAGAGAAAGAGCTTCTCTAAGGAGCACCCTGTGTGACCTTGGGTGAGTCATTCAACCTCTGTAGACCTCCTGCCTCCATGTGTGGCTTATAATAAAATTGTCTAATTAATGCCTCCCTCCTCCCCCTTCTCCATTCAATCGTTCATTCATTCCTGGGGAGCCCATAGAAAGCCTATAATACAGATCAGGGCTTCTTAAATTTTTTCCACTTGCAACTTCATTTTGCCCCAGAAATTTTTACACGACTCCGGGTATATAGATATATAAAATAGGTATACAAATCAAACATTTACTGATAATAAATCATACAGAAATTTATTTTAAAACAATTCTTTGGTATACATATAATTTTACATTTATTAAAGATGAAAGCAAATTTGCCTACTAATGAAATGGATATGCTTGCTTATTTTTACATAAATAATTAAATCTTGGCAGAATATTTGATACCACAGGACAAAGAACATTTTTGATGTTTTTCGGAGTTGATCAATATTTTGATTTTATAATCATCAGTGCTGTGTTCAGAAGCAAGGCTGCAGTGAAGTCATGTGATGCAATTTGGGGAGGAGCTGCCAGAAACACCTCAGATTCTTTTTGACTTTGAATTAATTTTTGGTCGTTGTACATTCAGAAACCTTCTACTGTTGCCAGATTTTTCACAGGCCCACGTTCAGTTACATGATCCCATATTGGGTCACAACCCACAGTTTAAGAAGTCCTGATATAGACCACAAAAGTTTGAGATCCCTTGTTTCAGAAAGGTGTCTTGGAAGTGAACAAAGGTGAAGCAAGAGAATTTCCAAGGTGAAAATCTGAAAAACTGAGAACAAACAGCAGACTGGAAGACAGTTACACAGATAGAGGTAAGGATTGGATCCATAATTTATTTGATAATAGAGAATTGCTATGCATGAAAGCTACCTCTACCAACAAAAGGTGACAAGTTCTCACAACACAAAGCCTTCTTAGAGAGCCTTCTGAGAGCAGAGATGTCAAGTAATTTGCCCAGGGTCAACCAGCCAATATGTGTGAAAAGTGAGCCTTGAATCTTCCTGACTCTAAAGCCCGCTCTCTAGACATTCCACCACCTTGCCTTTCTTGGACATCCACCATATATGCAAAGTAAATATAGAGTATTTGGGGGATGGTAACTAAAGCATTAATATCTTGGGTGGGGTTGGGAGGGATCAGAGAAGGTCTCCTGTGGACAGTAGAGTCAGAGCAGAGCCTGAAAGGTAA